GAAATATAAGGAAAAGATAGAAAAGGAAGGACACAGAAAGCAAAGGTAAGGAAATGAAGGATAGGAAAGAAATGGAATGGAAAAGAAAGAAAGGGTATATGGTGGAAAAGGAGAGAAGACATAGGGAAAAGACAACAGGAAATTGAATGAAGAGAAAGACAACGGGGGAAAAAAGTGACAGAGGAGAAAGATGAGAGGAAAAAAGTGCGAGAGACGATGAAGGGAATCTTCGATGAAGAGTGTAAAGAGGCAGAAACAGAACAATGGAGAAAGAGAAAGCAAAGGCGAAGGATTAAGTTGGGTCAGTCTGACTTGTCATCGCTCTGTAATCACAGCTCCATATGTGGAACACTGTGAGGACGGAGGAACAGCGAGGGGAAGGGAGAGCAAGAAAGCAACAACGTGGAAAAGTGAAATCTCAAGGACTGTAGATGAAAATGGAAGATATAAATGCAAAGAGGGAGCGAGGGAGGGCTCGTTAGGCGAAGCTGGTTAGCGTCAGCGTCCAAAAACAAACCCACAGGCATTCCCGCTTCTACCAACAAACATCTTTTTTTATTTTGTCTCCACACCATTCAATAAATACAAAATACAAACCAGCTTCATATTCATAAACAACAATGATAGAAAAATCCATAAAATATTACTTAATTCGAAACAGAAATAGGAACAACCGAAGCAGAGAAGCAATGAGATCAACAGGAGGTGAAGGCAAAGCTCGTGTTTAAGTATGACACTGAAATAACAACAGCATTTTCAAGCCTCTCTCCCAATGAAGAGATGGCAAACAACACCCTTTTTTTGTTCTTGTTTTACAGTTTCTGAACCCAGTCTTGTTGTGTTTCTGTATTGCTGATTAATCATATTCTTTACTGGCAAAAAAACCCCACACAATCACATTCACACACATACACATTCACACAGGTTTAAGCAACACTTTCCTCTCTATCCAGTGAGAGTGCTGAGAGCTACAGTAGCTGTGGCTGTGCTTCAAAAAGAAGCTCTGTCAACGAAACACAACTTGCACGATCTTACCAAACAAAGCCGGACCAACTGACTGAGAGAAAGATTCCCACTGAACAGCTGTGTTATATTCATACAGTAGACTGTAGTGTTTTTGAAGAAAAAAAAGAGAAAATTCCAGCAAAAATGAAAGGCAGGAAGCGGAAGGCAGCAGGTTTGTAAAGTCTGGTTGGTCCTCTTCTTAGCTTCATCCCTTCACTAATCGAGTCTTTGGAAAATTTCCGTTTTTATGATTCCTCCGTCTCTGCTCTTCTCTGTTCATTACAATCCTGAAGCTGACAACAGGGTGGGTGTGAGGTGAGGAGGGAGGGTAGGTGGGGGGGACCCAGTGTGCAGCTCTGGGTTTGGGTCCATCAGGTACGGGGTAATGGGTAGAGGAGGGTTCTGTGTTGTTTGTGTGGCTGCCCACAGATCAGTGTCTAAAGGTTCGCCTTTTGTCTGGAGCTTTCATCATCAGGTCGTCTTCCTCTAAAGAGTCTGTGGAGAACAGAAACATCGATTGAGAACCCCAGCAGTAGGATCTTTGTACTACCTTTAAGTGATGTGGCTTGAGGTTTGACCTGTGCCTATATCTAATAAATACTATATATATATAAACCAAATAAGATTTTTTGTTCAGGTCAGAGTGGGGAAAAATGAAGCAGCCAAGGTAGAAAAACTCAACTGAAAGTCAAACACATGCACTTTTAACCAGGTTAGCTAACTGTTCTAATGACTGTATACATGAGTTATATTTCACTGCATATTTGAAGTGTTGTCATGGAATGTTTCTGGCCAGACAGAGACCTCCATCATATCTGAGGTAAAGTATGCTGCCTTATAAAAAGTTCAGATTTATCAGTCTGGCCCCTTCTGGTGTTTGTATATATATATATATGTGTGTGTGTGTGTGTGCGCTCATTGCTCACCGAGACATTCAGGGCAGCAAGCGCCCTCTCTGCGGTTGATGTTGGTGCAGGTCAGCACCGGACATTGTTTCCTCTGACACTTGGTCACACCATGCTGTGGAAAACAAGAGAGGAAGAAGGATGTTTGGTGAAAAGATGCAACTGTAGAGGCACAAGGGGGTACTGACACTGAAAGATGCCAAATCACCAAAACCACTGAGGGGAACTGCAGGGCAGGGTGATCATTCTCTGAGACCCCTTTCACATTAGACACAGTTAATTGGCCCATCGATCATATACACATATTGATTAGTGCAGCTTTAAATGTAAGAGTCCAACTGCTGACGTACTGGCGTTAGATCGTCATTATCAGTGTTAAAAGAATGCAGTTTGAACTCTCAGTGAACTGTGATTTATCATTTTAGTACTTTAATGAAAATATTGTATTTCAGTCAGTTTTTAATGAGTCAGTGAGATTTCAGCAAAGTGACAATATTTGCACTTGGGTCATATTTCTTGGCAGCCACCACACTTACATCACACCAGCAGTTGATGCATTTCATCTCCCCCACTAGCGGCACCCAGGGATGCCAGTTGTCACTGTTCTGGTAATAGTTCTTGCCAAATTTGCAGTGCCTCGGGCCATCTGCTTGCATCATGTCGCTGTGCTCCAGGCCTGCAGGAGTCCTCTCCTCCTCTGGACACTCCTTACAGCAGTCGGAGGGATTACGCCTTACGGGATGACTGCAGGTCAACAGCGGACACGTCACCTTCTCACAGTGCACTTCCCCTGAAGATCCCTGTGGAGGTAATGTAGCATTAGCAGCAGGTTAGCAGTAATCCTTTTTTTCCAAGCACAAAATGCAGCTGACTTATTGCTTTTTTCCACATAAATAGTTGAAAAGTCTCAACATTCCACAAGGTTAAACTGATGAGAAATGTATTCATGCCTCAGTTTTTTTGGAGTCTAATACAAGATAAATGATCCATTAAGGGCTTTTGGGAAAGTAAATCCAGCCAGATGTGAGTGGGTTTATTGATGTATATTTACCTTGCAAGTGCAGACAGCACATTTAATGTAGCCAAAGGGAGGTACAAAGGGATGCCATGTGGTTCCTGGGGCATGCATCTTCTGGTCTCCCTCAAAGTAACAACCTGAGAGAAAGACGAGAGGAATAACAAGGTTACAGTCAGAAAATGGCTGAATGACTCAGAGCTAACTTTTCACCGTGGAACTGGTGGAAATTCAATCAAAGAAATACAGTATAGCGACATGTAAAAAAGAAAAGACACAATACAAGAGAAGGCGCTTGGGAAGCCAAGCCAGAGACAGGGGAGAGAGTGCCTACCCTCAGGATGTTCATCCACTCTCTCTGGAGCTTTCATGTCCTTGGGCTCCTTCCTCTCTGGACAGGAAAAAGGAAATGGAGACATAAAAACAGAATTAGTTTTCAAATTTATGATTGGCACTTTGGGAACTCACCCAAAAAATAAAATCGACTCACAGCAGCATAACTGCTGTAAAACATGATATAGCAGACGTGTATATCTAATGTATAACCAAAATGTGTCTATCTCACCATCACAGGCGGGGCAGCACTTGCCCTCGGGCTGAATGGTTCGGGAGCAGGTCAACACCGGACAGATGACCGGATCACAGATCACAGTTCGCTTCTACAGAAAAAATGCAGAAAGACGACAAACAGTGAGTTTTATTCGCGACACAAGATGACATACAGCATTCAGTGCTTACAGGTGCTTCCCCAAACAAATGCATTACCCAGCTTCTCTCCAAAATGCTTCAACATTTCAGCCACGTGCCTCCTCAGTGCTGAAACCATCAAAGACCCTTTCAACAGACATGTTTAATTGCTGTCTTTACCTGGCAGCTGCAGGAGAAACACTTGTCGTAGTTGGGAGTCCAGCGGGAGCCATGAGCGTGGTGCTGGTTCTCAAAGAAGCAGGTATGGGGGTCTTTCTTCAGCTCCTCGGGGTCCTTCACAAAGAGGTCGTCAAACTCAGCTTCCTCGGCGTCCACCCTGGTCCCCAGCTCACAGTTGTTGGGCACATGGACCTGGAGAGAGGAAATGTGTGGGGAAATGAAAAGAAGGGATAGATGGAGGTTAAGTGGCATGAAAGAAACACAAGAATACAGCATAGAGGAGGTAGATGTCGGAGTGGGTGAAGCGTGGTTAGGACATAAGAGAGAGAACACCTGACTCAAGGCTGATGTCATGCTGACTTGTTAATTGTTCCTAAATGGAGTGTTTCTGCGCTCCCAAGCAGATGGCTGTTTATGTGTGGACCTGTTTGCTATTAAAGCAGCTGGACTCTGTGTGTGTGTGTGTGTGTGTGTCATTCCTTTCTTTGTTGGTATCTGGCAGCCTAAAAGAACTCATCAACCACTACACCTGCAAAGCTGTTAATAGGTTTGTGGGCAACTGCGCATCTGTGCGTGTTTCTGAGCCGCAATAAAACTTTTACTTTTCAACAAAGTCTCCCCGGGCAGACAGCACCTGCCAGTCAAAGTGTGTGTTTGTGTGGGCTAGTGAGCGCTAAGTGAGCAATCACACAGACACATAACCACTCAGATGGTTAAATGAGGCCCCAAACACTCTACTACTTTCTCTTTTCTGTTTGTAAATGCTGTGAGTTTATTTTGAGGATGTTGCAAAAGCTAAGTTATATTAACTTCTAATATAATAAAAAATATTGAATGAATACAAAGGGATTATTTTGACATGGTCCAATCTTTTTAGAATTACTTTTTGACTGGAGCCACATTTTAACCTTCCTATATAGCTATAATTGTTTCCAGATGATCATGAATTGATTTTCAGTAGCCAAAGTTTGTGCAGAAACTGATCTAATGCCTCTATGTTGGGCCTTGTTGTATGGGTGGGCTTCTTTGCACTGTTAGCATTTTATTGTGTTATGGTTGTCTTGTAATAGTAAAACAGATCGGTCTTTGTGCTGGAGCTGTAAAATGGTTTTGTCACACTTGTCCAAAGTTGGTGCTGTGGATGAATATATGGTTTTTACATTCCATTCCCAGTTCCCTGTATTTAAGCTGCTAATGTTTATCATTTTCTGACAAAACTCAGTTCTTTTAAATACTTGTCAGGCAAATGAACTTAGAGCTTTGAAGTCCAACATATTTACAGAAGTTGTAGCTACTTTTACATACCCGCCCTCGTATTTCTCCTCGGGGGTTCATCTTGGTGCTGACCTGGATGAAGGCTGTTCCTTGGTCCAGGTGTTGCAGTAATTCAGCACTGATGTCCTTTAACACTCCCTGAGCCTGGAGGATAAGGAGAGTGTGTTTGAGTGTGTTTTTGTACAAGTGTGTATCTATGTATTTGCAGCCATTTGCATGTGTGTGTGTGTGTGTGCGTGTGTACACTGATGTACCTGTGAGCCGTAGAAGCCGGTCAGCAGCCTCTTGTGACTCGTGCTGCTGTCGTCTATTTCTCCAATCTCAGCCAGTCCGTGGAGGTGGGCGTTCACAGTGAGGTCGTCGGCCTTGCTGAGGCCCGCAACAACGATCTCATAATGCAGGTGACACTGTTTGTCCACTGACACCCAGGCATGGCCAGAGGCACCAGTTCTTACTGGTGGAGACACAAAGCTTCCGGCCAGAGGAGTGGGCAAGTCTGAAAGAAGGAAAAATGGTTTAATAAAGTGTGCATCCAGGACATTTAGAAAGTAATTCAATGTATTTGCATGTATGCTGTTATTTTTATGACCTCTCTTCCAACACTGCCAACCCTGCCCGTCTCCCACCCCTGCATCAATTGATTCGTACCATATCTGGGTGCTTCCAGGCCGTTGTAGAGCAGGGCCTTAATCTGCCCCCTCAGCTCCCCCTCCTGGCTGTGTGCCGTGGCCACGTTGATGAACAGTTCGTTCTGCAGCAGCATGTGGATATGTCGAGCCTCCAGGCGACTCCAGCTGCCCTGCGCCTTGCCCGTGGCCTTGTTATACTCCGGCGTCAGGTCATACAGCACAGAGCGTTTGTTTCGCCGCCGCGGTTTCAACTCGATAGTGAGGCCAAGAAAATCACTGGTGAGACCTGCGACCTGAACCTGGAGGAAGGGGATGAGGGAGAAGTGGTTAAACTCCAAAATGTGTTTTGCTTATTGTTACTTCACTTGGATGTTTGAGCTTCCCTGTGCAGAATGATGTATGTGCAGGCTGTTTTCACGTTCATCTGCTGAAGGGGGAATGTTTTTCTGAGCTCACCGTAAATCTGAGTCTGACAGAGCGTACCAGCAGGATTTCGTGACCTCACAACTAGTTAGGCAACTGAAAACTTGAAACTCCAGGTCACATACTGAAAATGGACTTTTCAGTGAAGCAAGACTGACCAGAAGTAAAACCTGTAATTATTTACAAATGTATTTGCTTATTCATAAATTCTGTATTTTTTAACTGGGTACTATAATATTTTTGTGGAAAAATCATATCAGACACAAATTATTATTCAAACCAGAGTATTTTTATATGTCTCAAAACATTTCTAGAGGGGATCTTTATTTTTGGTTCGGTGTGTTCTGAGGTCAGCCTGATTTGATGCCAATGAAAAGGGAAAAGTGTACTAATAAAGAATTTAATGTGTTCTGGCTTGGTTTATTATTGTTTAGTCGGTTTAATCCCATTCCTTTATGGAGGAGAGTCCATAAAACTTATTTTGATTAAGACTGGTGACAGTCTGCTTTTTGGATGGAAGATTGGCTAGTGGGTCAATTATTTTTTTCCTTTCTGGTCCAGTTTACACCATCAGAAACATTTCAACAGGTACACCTCAAAACAGAAATCAACATGTTACAATAGCAGGGTAAGTTGAGCCTTTGCACCCCCGCTAAAGTACAGTACAGTGTGTTACTATAATCACTGTTCCAACAAGATATAAGAAAAAAATATTCATTTTGTTCAGTTGGTTAATGCTGAAATTGTGTCATGTAATACATCCCCAAGTTGTGTGCAATCATAAAAAGTCAAACAACTATGTGTCTCGTAGTGGACAAATCCATACCTGGTAGTCCAGCGTGCCGTTATCATGAAGGTTGAAGATAGCAGATCCCACGCCTCCTGTCTTCCCCGGGGTCAAGGCATCACCGCTGGACATCACACTTTGAATAGCTGTGCCAGACAAAGACAGATTAATATCAGAAATCCACTTTAGAGCACATTCCTGCTCCAATTACTTATCTAAAAGCATCACTTTTCCCCTCGGAGTTTCCCTCCCTTAAACCATAGTGAAGCCTGACAGCATGCAAGATGAGGCAATGACTTCTGTCATGTTCAAATTTGCTGGTTGGATGAAGGAGGGAAGGGGGGTGGGGGGTGTATAACATTCCCTCACGTTCTGCAGCCACACACATATAGAAGAAAAATACCCATAATGTCATTCCTTCACCAAGACAGAGTCACTGAGGGGACAGACTCAATTGAACTGCTAATCAGGAGGTGTGTCTGCTCGTGTAATTGTGTGCTGGACCTTGGACCAAAAGCATACATGTTGTTGCATGGTCTGGCACACACACACACACACACACACACTTGCACACAAAAAAACCCACCCAAGGTTAAGCCTTAGAATGAGGTAACCCTTGTTGAATGCAGAAGGCTTAGAAAGATTGAGCTTGAGAGGACAGGAGGGAATGAGTAACTGAGACTGACGAGAAAAGTGCAGAGCAACATTTTTGAAAATGACATGGAGACAGACAAAAACCCAGAGAGGAGGAATGACGGGATCGAGACATGAGCGGGAAAGAGGAGGGGGAGAAAAGAGAGGCAGAGAGGGGAAGGAGTGAGTTGGGTTTGAATTCTTCACACATAACGTCAAGCTGTTAATCACAGCACTGGAACACCAGCATGGAGAGTCAGGTCCAGCAGACTGTGACCTTGGCAGCACCACCGTGTATTGGTGTGTGAAACTTGGACATAAAAAAACCTCTCCATGCATATTTGTGTCTGTTTGAGTGCATGTATTTGTGTATGTTAGACAAAGCGTCTCAAAGTGTTTCAAAGTGCCGAACACCTTGATGTTCCATGATCATGTTCAAGTATGCGTCCCATGAAAAGACCATGTGTGCATGCTTTAACGCTTTCAGACAATTGGGTTGTCCGCAACATTCCTAAGACCTTCGTCTGTCCCTCACACACACACACACCGACAGACATGCGTACACAGTCTTGGTGGGCCACCAAGTGCAACAGAAGGTCTATAAACATGGTTTTCCCCAGCGATAAGACTTGAAAGGATAGAGACAGAAAGAAAGACAAGTATTTATAGAGGAGAATGACAAAAACAGCCACAGATGGACGAGCACAAACCAACTACAGCGCACATTCCTCGCAGCCCCTGTGTTTGTTGCCTCTACACTGTTTAACCTCTCTGGGATAGTGTGAAGAGGGACATGAAGATGTTTTCATGTCACCTGCACAAAGGCGTTTGATTGCAGGGGAACACTTACTGTCACAAGATTTCCTCCCGGTGATGAAGCCGGAGATTTGTCGGGGATCCTGACCCTCGGTCACCACGGCGATCTCCAGCTGACCATGAGATAACCAAAACAGTTCGCGGCTGTTCAGGTCTGTCAGCACCTCCGCAAAGTCAGGATCCTGCACAGAGTGAAACAGTCAGCTTGAGGATAAGCTGTGGGTCAAAATGCTGAGAAATATAAAACCATATTCCATTGTAAACAAATGCCTTCTCAATACCAGATATAAAAATGTCATATTATGCAATTAAGATGTTGTTGACATGATAGTACAACACTGACAATCCCAACTTATTGAGGCAAAAGACAGACTGGTGACATATTTCCAACTAAAATGAACATGATCCGTGCTGTTTATGGTTAACAAAGATAAGATGTGGACAGAGAGCAAAACAGATCCAGTAGAGAGAGTAAACTCTCCTCCAGGTAACATTAATTCAGCAATCACAAAGGCACCACAAAGTCAGAAGCCATTAAGGACACAAACGGTTGTGTTACTGAAAAACACATGATTTTAAATCAGCCCGCTCACAAGCGCACACTTAAACCCTGGGCAAAAATATGTCTTGCATTGCCTTAACACGTTTCATATTGAGTAAAGTTTAATCTCAAGCAGGCCAAACTGGACTCCGAGGAGGCGGGGGACTTGGTCAGGTCGTTGAGAAATGTGGGATTAATAGGACAGATGTACGAGCGTGTTGAAGAAATGTTACTTTTATGACCCCGGGGCCTCAGTTCAATATAAATATACATGTACCATAAATCCACGCAGAGAGGAGCCAAAACAGAGTGGGAACGGAGAAAGGCTGGACAGAGGGAAGGTGACTTATGTTGGGGAAATTGAATGGGTAGAATAATGAGAGGGAAGTAAGGTGCAATGGGATATATTGGGGTCTTGTGTAAATCAGGCAGAGCAATAACACTGTCAGGATTACTGGGCCAATAAAGAATGACTTCACTTATTTAAAAATCTGATCAGTTTGCTCGTGTGTGTTTATAGGAATAAAAATAGGCAAGTAACCCATTTGGCTAAAAAACACGTACATTGTGTTGTTTATACGCCTCTGTTACTCAGCAAGACTTAAAATGAGTCAGCGGTTTGGGTTTCAGCATGTAGCTCGAGGACACTTTGGGGGGTCATGTGGCAGTTGCTGAGTTCGAACTTTTCACATATTTTTCACGGACGGTCTCTCTCACCACTAGGCTCGAAAGAGGCGCATTGGCCTTTCACGCAATTCCTGGCAGAATTCAAAACAGACCCGCCTTTCATCACTCCTCTTCCTCCCTCCATCTATCTCAGCCCACAGACCACTAACCACTGACATGTGTGAGGAGTGTGTACGCAGTCCATCCTCTCTACCTCCCCCGTCCCTCCCCTCTTTCCCCCGTGTCTCTCGTCCCTTGCTCACATCTGTCTGCTGCAAGAGCTCCTTTCGCACACACTTTCTCTCCTCTCTTGTTTTGGCCTAACTCTTCCTCTCCATCCATTTTTCTTGTCATGTCTCAGGGTAGTTAGCTGTGATCAGAGCGGGGGCAACAACAGCGTTAGGATGTGGTGACCAGACCACATCCGTCTCCAAGAGGGTGGGGGGGGGACACCAGGAGTGTGAGTGTGTTGCTGTGTCATATGTTCCTAACCGACAACACTGCTGCTCCTCCAGTCACCCCTTAATTCAGTGTCTGACCCAGATGTAACACTCTGCCCTAAAACCTCCCTCTTGTTTCATACTGAATATTGAAAAATGCAAGAAACACTAAATATTTCTATTTTTCAACGTGAAAGTAAAACTATTTGGTACAGAATATTGCTAAGCTATCAAGCTAAACCATAGGACCAAGGTTAATGCATCTTATTACTCACATGAGAGGTGATGTTGGCTCGGATCTCTCTCAAGATGTGTTGGCGGTACACAAGATGGACTCGGATGGGCATCAAAAGGGGTTCTGAGGAGAGAGAGTGACAGTTTTCCTATTAATGTCTGTCATAAACAGCGGCCCCACAGATTTGGGAAGGTATTAGCACTGAGATGAAATGGGTAAAACAGAAACAGAGACTAAAAGAGGATTCTTGTCCCAGTGTGGTTTTGTTTAACCACTGGTTTCAGTGAAGGACTTGGCAATCACATGTTTTTTGAAGGGCACCATAATAGCCCTTGCATGTGGGAGTGTTTTCTCTACATCTGACCCTTCTGCTCTTCCTTTCTTTTTCTTGCCTCTCACCTTTGTCTTTGTGTTTGATGAGGCCTTGAAGGATGAGGATGAAGTGGAGGTTGTTCTCTGTGTCACTCAGCGTCAACATGGCGATGCCTCCCATGCCTGAATCCTCCTCCGATGTCAGCGTTGAACTGAATGTCTCTGTACACAAGACATTACCATATTGAGTATCTGCATTCTCTTCCAGGACTTCTACACAAATACTTCTCTGTAAACAAAACCCACTCTTTGTAGCTGCATTAATCCACGCAAGGCTTTTTAAGATTACAAGAGAACGTATACAATTCCACTGCTTTGTAAATATTAGAGTTTACTGTGTACTATAACACAAAGACAAAGGCATACACATGTCTAAAGGAACACTACAAACAAATACTGAACCATCAGAATGCTATAATATCCCACATGCACACATACCAGCAAACAGCGCCCTGTGTTTGATGATCTTCCCCTCCACTTCTTCTCGTCTGCTCGTGGAAGCGCTCATGCTGATGCGCATCTGCTCAGACTGCAGCTGCCGCATTAGAGGCTTAGCCAGGTTCTTCCACACTCCACAGATCTGCACAAACACAAGCCGGTAAGCCACAGTACTGTCGCAGCTGGAACTGTACATAGATATCAAACCAGCGACAATCTCCAAATGTTTTTGTGCGTCTCACTTATGAAAAAGGCATACAGACAAACAGACGTCCAAACAGACAACACATGCACATCTGCTGAATACATCAAACCACGTGATTGTACTCTCAGCCCCAGGCTGCAAACCTTCAACATAAAACCACTACTTCTCCCTGAGAGCGGAGGGAAGAAATGTGGCAGTGTGCCGGCACCTCATAACTTTCAGTTCAGGGGTAATCTCCGTTTTAATTAGCGATACTCTCTGTCCCCCTGCTAAGCAGTGATGTAACATGTGAAAAATTCTCCTTCCAAAAGTTTTGTTACGGCAAACTGCCCCCCCCCCTTCCTTTTTTTTGCGTTGGAGTGTTTTCTCTAAGGTCCTCTGGTGCTTGACACTGACATTTATCTAAAAATAATAATAGGCCAATTTCTGGGACTGTATTTAGGGGGCTCCTGCCTCGCTGAACAGAGTGTTCGGGCCATGAAATGGAATGAGGGGATGTGTGTATCTTGGCAGGAAATGATGTGTAGTTATTGAGCCAGACCTTAGGGAGCGTGTGGACATGCATGCATGTGTACTACTGTTACAGCAACATCTCAGTTTACTGATTTATCAGGATAATATTGGACTTTTACTAAACTCTTGTACAAAACGTCTTGTACACCTCTGACCTGATGATGGTTTCCCCCTGGTATTACCTTTTGAGTGAGTGTGTGTTGATGTTTACTGCAATCAGGCTGAGTTTAGAAAGAGGCAGTGAAGCAGAAAGGAAGTGTCACTGTGTATGTATGTGTGTGTCTGTGAGTGTGTTTATTGTTTATTATTGCAAAGTGAGTTATGGGAGAAAAAGTTTGAGAATAGAGTCATGGACTGGGAGCGTTTGCACAAAACACCACTGACTGAAGCAAGAGGAGATGATCTTATATCTATGTGGTGTCTTACCATGTCAGACTGTCCTTTGGGGACCCTGTACTCAAAAGCAGTGGTCCCATCTGAATCCAGGAAGATTATTTTACTGGGGCGGTCCATTCTGAAAAGTAAGAGAAGACAATAGAAATGAAGGAACAAAGAATTGAATATACAAGGACATCATCCTGTGTTTTCAGTTTTGCTACTTTTTAATGCTGATTGCTGCAACAAGATTATAGTTGAAACAGACAGGTTGTGACGTCTTTTATACTTTCTACTCTAAACACTTCAAGTATGTTTGGGAGATTTTGGAGAAGAGCTGGGAAGGATAAGCAGTGATGATGCTGAGGTTCATTGGAAAAAGAAGAGAGACCACTTTCAGGGATTGAAGCAACAAGAAAGGAAGTAGACGTTTCAGCTGAGACACACTATGTGTCTTACCTCTGGTATGTGATGGAGAAGGCCAAGCTGGTTCTGGTCAGAGAGAAGCGAGCTCTGGCAACGCCACTGGAGCTGGGCAGCCATGAGTCCGTCACTCCTGTCAACACTGCTACAAAGTCTGCAGACGGAGAGAGTGTTAGATAGATGCTTACTAACATATGCCATTATTCTACGTGTTTGTGTGTGTGCATGTTTGAACTACATTTTTAACGTTTTACTATTTATTTAAATCTGTTTTTGCTGCTCTGACTGTGTTTTAATGCAAGAGTGTTGGTGGTCTGTCCATCTGTCTACGGGTGCTCCTGCTCACCAGTGCGGCTCTCCCCAGGGCCCACCTCCTCCGAGCTCAGGTAGGATCTGTCGTTGTAAGATTTGTGGAGGTCATCCTCCTTCTCTCTGCTTTTCTCGTGGAAATACTCAAAGCTGTCCAGCACAGAGTCTGTCTGTTTCTTGTCATCAACACCTGCAGAATGGAAGAAAAACTGTTAAAAGAGAGATACTTGCTGACTACCTACAGGACGGCATATAATTACAAGTGAAAAAAGTATTATAGTCAGACTTATATACTGTAGAGTTAAAGAGTTTTATGTTTTCATTTTAATGTGATCAAATTTTGCACACAGGAATATATTTTATTATCTTTATATTTGCTGATAGGAAGACTATTAGCAATAGTAGTAGTGTGTGTCTTTGAAACTGTTTCATTAACTGACAAGAAAAACCAAGTGGAAGCAAACATTTAATTCTGCTACATCGTTCTCAAAGTCTGGTGCACAGATGAGACTAAAACATTGTCTGTGCTCCTGCCTTTTTCACTTAATTGTGTCTTGTGTATGGAGGATGAGGATGAAGAGTGTGAAACGTGGACTTTGGGGAGAAACTGTGACGAACCCAGATCGAGCAAGAGAGGTAGAAATTACAGAAGGGGAAGAAAGAGCGATTTGGAGGACGTCTGCACCAATTTCAATCCAGCACATTCTCTCTGTCTTCCTCACTTCCTCTCTCTCTCTCTCTCTCTCTCTCTCTCGGCCAGGGGTAACTAACCAGGGTAGTCCCTTGCAGCTGAAGAGCTTAAGGAGAATTGGGAGTGACACTGGCATGCGATCCCAACAATGACCCGCTGTTCCACACAAACTGCTGTGCGTCTTGATGTAATGTGTAGCCCTCAGTTCTCTTCACACGCAGTGACACATGCAGCGGTGCTCACTCAGCCAAATACAACCCCACTGACATGATCTTGAAAAAGAAAACCACACACTGGCCCGTAGTCACCTAAACTTTATTACTTCACGGCAGTTTCTGGAGGAGATCGGCTGGACTGTCTGCTTTCTTTCTAGGTGTCTAATTCACACACACACACACACACCACCCACAAATCCCATCATTTTTCTCTCACTCCCTCACTCCTGTGCTCCACTGGGCACGCTCAAGGGCTTCTTGGTAGTGTCACTCTCACTTCTCCCCACTTATACTGTATCCTCAGGTGCACCACATTGCAAACACACACACACATATATATAAACACACAAACACACACACTATTTTCCATCACTTACACAAATATACTAGCTGCTCTGGTGCCAAAGCTAAGACAAACACACTCAACCTTTTTCCTTAAAACTTGACCACAACACACACACACAGCACAGTGTCCACACAGTGCTTTACCTTTACTTTCCATTCCATTACCAGACACATAGTGTAGAAAAACACCCAATCTGCTGAGTAACAGCGCAGCATGAAGACCCACCCTGTGTGTGAGAGTGGGTGAGCATGTGCAGGGGAGCTCTAATTCTCTAATAAGGTGGAATTGTGTGTGCAGCACTGTGTAGACAAGGTAAGTGGCAATGTGTGAATGAGGCCAAATTGATGGGTGGTACTTTCAGCTGTGGCTGGTTAGAGAAAATGTCCATTGGATGCGGCTGAATGGAAAATCAATTGACCTGTGCATTGCATCTAGCAGCTGTTCTGAAGACTAACTAGTTGACCCGGGGTGAAAGGGAGGAAAAAAAGCACCAAAAAAAACTGGGAGTGCAACAGAGAAAGATGGAGAGAAGGAGAGAGGGAAGAGAAGAAGAAAGATAGATATGAATCATACAAAGAATAAACAAAAACTGTGGAAAAGAAACCGTTGAGGGGAACAACTGAGAGCGATTCATTTCTGCTTTTTCCCATACACTTTTTTCAGCAGTTTAAGCTGTGCTTGCTTGTTTTCTCAGCTGACTATTTCATGCATTTTGGACAGCTATTTGGATCACCAGTTAAAAGCTTCAGGTCTGTAAAACTTAGAGCAGCAGGTGGGGAGATTGGGTCAGCAGATGATTACCTTTGGGACAGCTTTTACAGCAGTGGCCTGGGAGCAGGACGGGATCATCGCAGTCCAGCTCCGGACAATCCTGCTTGATGTTCCTGCAGTTTACTTTCCCAAACACCTTGCCACGACGGCTCTTTTGCTGCCAAAAACCACAGAGAAACAGACACATCAGTCGCCTGTCAAATCTCATCTGAAAACACACGGTAAAGAATTCGGACAACAGCTGATTACAAATTCATCTGGAGTTAGAAGTCACAGTGAGACCAACTTACAGGTTCGCAGTAGCACTGGACGCAGTGCATGACACCGAAGGGCTCCCCCAGGTCTGGGTGCCATGTGTCCTCCAGAGAATAGAATCGGCCTCCGAATGAGCATCCTGTAACACAAACACTGCGGGTTATACACGACTGTCTTCGGGGTCAAACATCGGCCAGTGATCACAATTGTTTGGCTCTTTCCAGACCAGAGGAAGTCTGGATTAGACACTAGGTGAACTGATATGATTGTATATGAGGTTTGTCCTTAATTGTTCCTTTAACTGTGGGAAAGAGAATTATGGGGAGCACAGAAGAATTAAGATGGGGCATTTCAAGATATGACTTACATAAAGTTCACAAAGAGAAGCTGTGAGGCTTTCATTAAATGTCAGACATGCAGGGTGACCAACTGTACCTATTTTCAGATTTAACAACAAATAAATCTCACATAGCTCACTGCCCGGGCATGTTTGGAGGCAACTGAAACTCCCTGAATGCCTCGTGAGTTCTGGGACTCAACCTTGCATCCTGTCTCATCTTAATGATCCATGAGCACTGAGCAGGCATGGGAGACGTTCAAATTTCCACTGAGAAGATTATCAGAGATTCCCAGAAATATACATAATGTTGGCCAAACCTTTTTTTTTGAAAGGGACTTTATGAGGCCATTTTGAAATCATACTGTAAATCATAACATGATATGAGAGTGAGCAATAGGAGGTAGGGAATACTATAAAGTGCATCCAGTTTACAGTAAACTCAGGTAGTAGGATAGCTTTGTTTCGGCTCTGTACTTCAGCAGATCAGATCTGAAATGAGGCCACAGTGCTGACTCTGTGTTTACATCAGACGAACCATGTAGAAAAAGGGCTACAGTTCCTTCCCCAGTGTGCATGTGAATATTCTCAAAGCTGGAAAAACACCACATTATAGTCATTGTTTCACTTGAAATCCAGTGTGCTGGAGTGAAGCCACAACTATGAAAAAAAAAAAAAAAGACACACCACTGTTCTAATATATAGTGACTGCGCTGTATTGATGTTACAGGAGATAAAAATAGCCTTTAGCCTTATTATTACTATACTACAATCATAATTGAGAGTTAGCCACGCTCTGTTACTACAGGAATATTACAGTGATTTTTGGTTGGGAGGATAATGCCTGTAAGCTATGTCTGTGATGAGAACCCTTGTCTGACTACACACACACACACACCAACTTCTTCCCCTGCCCTGTTCGCTGCTACCAACCTGGTTCACATTATTCTTTCATTAAAGTGACTGCACACTTAAAGCAGTCCAGTCCAGTTAAAGGGAGCCAAACTGTGAGGCGCTCGCTTTGCCTGCCACTTCTGTCTCTGTTGAAATAAATCATCTCAGAGGAGCCAATGCTTGTAATGGAAAGTCGATTGATTACAGTTTCCAACATTGAATTACACGGCGGTGGTTAGCGTGGAGTTCCCACAGTTTTGAACTCCAGAGTAGTTACCTTGTAAAACCCGCAAGGAGCTTTGTACGTAGGGGCTTTCACACATGAATCAAATGGCATCCACTGCGGTTATGAGTCAGACGTTTGCCGCTAGTTTACACTTGAAGCAACCCAGGCATTGAGGAATAGTTCAAGGAAATATGGAAATTCACAGTGGGAGAAGTTAATAAAGACAGTTATTTTAACTTAGCTTGAAATGCTGTGTGTTGATATTTTTTAAAACGTTTGCTAGTTGTGGGGCTATATTGGGCGCAATAAACCTTCGGGTGTAGCTTAGCAGGCAGCTGAATTCAGGTTAGAACCTGTAAGCGCATCCAGCACAGCAACCCAAACTTCATGAAAAAATCTGACCATTTAAAGTTCTCCCAATTTATCTGCTAAACATATAGACAAATCATGCTTACACTATAAGTGGTAGCAGTAACGGTGTGCTAACTGCAGTTCGGCATAATTGTGATATCAAATTACAACATTCATTAAAAAAATAAAATAAAATTGGGAGGATGTGACATTTGTTGTGAACAAGATTTGTAGGCCAGGGAATTTT